GCCACCGCAGCCTTGACCTGCTGGGCTCCGGCGATCCTTCTGCCTCAGTCTTCCAAGTAACTGGAACTACAGGCATGTGCTACCACGCCTGGCTAATTTTTTGATTTTATTGTAGAGATGAGGTCTTGCCAAGTTGCTCAGGCAGGTCTCGAACCCGCGGTCTCAGGCAATCCACTCACCTCAGCCTCCCAAGGCGCGGGATTACAGACTGAGCCACCGAGCCCAGCTGAGGATTTCTTTATCCTTAGAAGGTCCTAGAAACAATCCCCTGCAGATACTGAGGGACAACTGTACTGAGTATTAGAAAGAAAGAAGCAAAAGTATTATTCTGATGCAAACTGGGTATCCTGCAATACAATTCAATTCTAACACCAAACTACCTGGCACTGGTATCAGACTCCACTGGTTAAGGACAAAGACCCACACTTCAGATGTGAGCTGCAAGTCTTAAGGAGAAGCTGCACTGCAGACCAACCAGCTACAAATTCAGGGGTTTCAACCCACCCCCCAGATTTGATAATATACTAGAACAACTCAGAGAACTCAACAAAAACATTATACCTAAGCAATTCAAGTTCTATTATAAAGTCAACACATAGGGCGAGATGCCGAAGGGTCCCAGACATAGCTTCCCTTCTTTCTCCTCCTAGAATGCAAGCACACCACCCTTCCAGCTCTTCAGAAAGCTCCGATGAGCTTCTGCGTCCACAGTTTCTACTGAGGTTTCATTACATATTGAATGACATGATTGATTAAATCACTGATCAAGCAATCAAACTCAATTTCCAGCCCCAAAGATTGGGCAGGCCCCAAGTTCCAACCCTAGGACCCACCAAGTGTCACCTCATTAGCATAGTAAAGGCACACCTATCACTCAGGAAATCCCACGGGATTCTGAAGATATATTTTCAACTGATGCTTGTAGTGTGATAAAGAGTATATCTGGTTTTTGTCCCAGGAGTCAGGGACAAAGACCAGATATATTCTTTATCACACTACAAGCATCACTTGAAAATCACAGAATATTATGCAACCATAAAGAAGGACAAAATTATGGACTTTGCAGCAACCTAGATGGCTTTAGAGTGTATAATACTGAGTGATCTATTACAGAAACAAAGAACTGAGTATCACATGTTCTCACTCATGAGTAGACCCTGAGCATTTACCATAATACTATAAGAAAGGGAAACTGCCGGGGGAGGGGGACACATAACCTCAATAAGGGTACCCGATCTCAAACCAGGGGACCAAGGGGAGGCCCAAACTTCACCTGTATGATGACCACTTGTATACCTAATCCTGAATTGTACCCTATATCTTTAAAGTTAAAAAACAATTTTTAAAAAAGAAAACCACTTAAAACTAACAAAGAGTTCACAAAAAGGCTGAGTACAAAAGAAATTAATAAAAATCAACGGATTTCTTTTATAACCAATACAGACCAGAATAATTAAAATGCCCTACTTACAATAGCAAGGGGAAAAAAAGTAAAAAAATGTGTTAAGATAAACTTGGTAAGAAATGTTGGCTAACAGTTGCAGAAGATGGAGGGGAAAGTCAGAAAAAGAAAGGAGCCTGAGGTTGGGTTAGGGGAGAGGAATCATAGAGCCGGAAAAATAGATGACCATAGGGCTAACTTTTAGGAGGTGACTAAAGACGGCAGGGATGTGAGCCATGTGGGATTAACTGGACTCAAATGTCCAACATACCTTGGGTATGAATACAAGGGTGCAAGATGATGCCCAGAGGTTTGATAATACTAGGAGGCTTATAAAATACCTGCTCTTAAGCATGGCGGCCTAACCGACTCTAGCGTGGTCACTGAACAGAAGGTCTATTTAAGTCACTGAATCCATCACCCCCATTCTGACTCTGGGGATGGAAGAAAGAGAAGATGGTTACACACCTCAGAGTAAACTGCCAAAATCAGTTGAAAACAAGCACTGAGGTATCAAAGGCGAACATTTAAGCCTAGGTTTCTGCTTTACGTGAAATTCATTCCGTGACTTTATAACAGAGTTTACATTTATTTGCATTTGTGCTGATTCAAAAAGAAGTTTAAATTTGGTTAGCAAAGCAAAAGAAGAGGAAGGGTGATTTTTGAAAGATCCTTACACGTCTTTTCATTTTACTACCATCACCATCTAGTGGAGAAAACCTTGAACTTCAGACAGAAGGAAGTAGGATTCAGGAAAAACAATACTAGAGGGCCTACTGCGTGACAGGCATTATACTAAATATTTTCACATTTATAAGTTCATTTAATTCTCACAACAGACTGTGAGGTAGGCATTATTATTCCTCTTTTAGATGTGGAAACTCAGTCTGAAAAGTTACATAGTTTGCCCAAGGTCACACTGTGGCTAACGCAAACCTAGATTCTTGAAGTGAAGATTGAGGATCATTTTCACCTCCAAATAGCTCAACATCCAAATAGCTCAACTCTATTCATATATGTGGCCATGGAAATAAAACACGTATACATATATGGAGAATTTTGTCTCTGTTTCCCTTTTTTTAATTTATAGAATTGTTATGAGCAAAGCACATGTACAAAAGGAAAAAAGGATTATACTATATACAGTAGTTTTGAATTATTTAATTTATACTCCTTATTACATAATAAGTATTTTCCCATGATCGGAAATACTTTTGAAAGCACCTATTAGGTAACAATAAAGATAGACTGCAGGGCGGGGTGGCTCATGCCTGTAATCATAGCACTTTGGGAGGCAGAGACAAGAGGATTGCCTGAGTCTAGGGATTGGGGACCAGCCTGGGCAATTTGGTGAGACCCTGTCTCTACAATAAATAAATAAAATAAGCCAGCGACGTGGTGTGTGCTTGTGGTTCCAGCTACTTGGAAGGCTGAGGCGGAAGGATCCCCTGAGCCCAGCAGGTCAAGGAGGCTACGGTGGCCAAGAGTGTGCCACTGCACTCCAGTCTGGGTGACAGAGTGAGACTCCGACTCAAAAAAAAAAAAAAAAAAAAAAAAGATGTGCGTAGAATTACATCTATATGTCAGGATTCCGTGTAACCTTGAACGACATTTTTAATAACCGGGGAAAGGTGCCAAAATACTAATAATGATTATCCATAAATAAATGTTCCATAGTAAGCACGCATTACTTCTAAAAAGAAACTTTAGGCCTTACATTTATTAAAAGACATTCAAGAAACTTCAGTTGTCTAGTTTGTTTCATTATTTTAAAAATGTTTGCAGGGGTTAAGAGTCACCATGTGTCCAGATACTTCTATGAATATTTACCATCTGTGTAGTACGTACATTTCCCACCCTCTTTATCATATCAATCGTTGTGAAAATATATCTAGCGTCTTAGTTAAGAGCAAAAACGCAGTCTTTCTTTTCCGAGAGGCTTGTGCGTACCAGGCCAGTTACAAAACCCTCGCCCGCCCTTTCTTTCCCCTCCTCGCTAATAAACTTTGTTTTAAAACTTTGCTGTCCGTTCTGAAAAATTATTTCAGAGTCGAGTAAAAGCAGCCACGGGCTTGCGCCGCACCCCACCCCACTCGGCCTCAGCCACACCGAGCAGCTGACCTGAAGACCGCCCTCTTCAAGCGCGCTTCGGGCGAAACGCCTTTGACAACAGGCCGACAGACCTAAAGGGGCGAGTGCTCCTTCACCTGCGATTCTCGGACCACTACTGAGGGGAACTTTTTTCACGTGCCTAAACGTGTGTGTTTTTCCTTCTGTTCAAATGCTTTGTCCAGTTTCCTACTGTAGCCTTTCGCGTTTTTTTCCCCCATTGCCCTTTCATTGCAAACAACCCGCCATGGCCTCCTCGGGCTCGTCCCCACACCCTCATTCAACTCCCAGGGTGGGAAAGCCTGGGGATCGGCTCAGCCAACCCGGCGCGTCAGCCAAGGCTGCTCCGAACCGCAGCGCGCCACAGGGCCCGGAAGAGGCACCGCTTTCTCCACCGCGCAGCCTCGCGCACGCGCACCACGCCGCCCCCGCGACCTCTCACAAAGGCCGTCCACAGAGGCGGAAGTGGACGCATGGCGACTGGGGCGAACTGCGGAAGACTACAGTTCCCGACGTGCCGCGCGAGGTGTTGCCGGCGGTGGCTGGGG